CCAACAACATCAATGATTAAAGCACACACACGCACACACAGCTCCTATGGTACTTAGCTTTCTTTCTAAAATCACGTGCTAAATTTATAGTAAACCTGAAGGGATTCCAAGTTCAAATTTCTTCTCTTTATTCATTTCTCACCTGAAGAAAGATGAATAGGCAAAGTTTGGGGTTTTTAATTTTTGCTTAGTTTTCATTTTTGTTTAATTTTTTAAAAGATCAAGTGCTTGAAGGCTGAGAGCATATTAGATTCACAAGGGGAAGCAAAAAGCTTCACAAAGTATGATGCACTCCTGCTTTGCAAACCTTTCTGCATATGGGTGAGAGGAGAAATTAGGGAATCAACTGAAACAAGAATCCTTGAAGCTGTAGTCCAACTATTGCTTACTGCTAAAGACTGCAGAGCAGGCTTCATCTGGGACACAGCAAAGAGAAGCAGCCTGTCTTTCTGGATTCTGATCCAGGCCACATTGCACCAAGTGTTGGTTTGAGGAAGCTGGGTTAAATCCTTCATATCCTGAAAGGGAGGGAGGAGTCGGCTGTAAGATGAGTCAGCTCATTCCAGCGGAGTTTAACAGGTGACAGAAGGGAGTGTGACTGACAGGTGCTAAAGAAGATATGCCAGGGGGGCTCTACTGGAAATAAAACATTAATTTTATAGTGATGAACATAGGGAGGACAGGGGATTGTACATGGCGAGCTTTTATAGACTGTAGAGCCAGTACACACTGCTGGAAAGGTTGACAAAGAGAGTAAGACAAGGGTAAGAACAACTGTGACCCCAGAAAACAGGATCCATATCTTTTTGGATCCTGTCAAGACCTAGTGCTTTTACTTGCTTGCCAACTTCAGGAAGATTCCCAGGTGACAATAATTTTCTGCAGTAGGACAACAGGGTGAGAATTATGGGCTACATTCATTAAATAAATATTAGGGATAGCAACTACCTGCCTGTATTCGATACCTGTGTTAAAAGGGAAAGGTGGACGAGAATACTGAGACTAAGACACAATCTTTTTTGCCTCTGATCTTTTGTGTGGCTAGGGATCAGAGGCTGCAAGGAAATGAGGGATTTCATACATGTAAAAAGGGAGAGAGAGGGCTTCCCTGGTGGCGCAGTGGTTGAGAGTCCCCCTGCCGATGCGGGGGACACGGGTTCATGCCCTGGTCCGGGAAGATCCCACATGTGGCAGAGCGGCTGGGCCATTGAGCCATGGCCACCTAGCCTGCGCATCCGGAGCCTGTGCTCCGCAACGGGAGAGGCCACAACAGTGAGAGGCCCGCATACAGCAAAAAAAAAAAAAAAAAAAAAAAGGGAGAGAGAAACTCAGAGGAGCCTTTCCGTTTCTTAGGGAATCTGTTCTGAAGGTTTCTACTGGGAGAAAATGGAACACTATCTTATGGTATGGAGCAAGTGTAAGAGTTTTAATAAGAGTCCTGCCTTGGATCCCTGCTCTCAAATAAGGTTTAATGGAATCAGAGAAAATAGATCAACAACAAGAGCAGAAGTGGGAATTCCCTGGCGGTCCAGCAGTTAGGTCTCGGTGCTCGCATTGCCAAGGGCCCGGGTTCAATCCCTGATCAGGGAACTAAGATCCCACAAGCCGAGCAGTATGGCCAAAACAAAAACAAAAACAAGAGCAGAAGCAAAAAAGATCAGGTGGTAGACATGAGGTTGGAGATTTTGTGTACCCAGGGGTCCAGGATGGCATCTTTGGCACTTGTAGTAGAGTTGATAATTGATGGGACTGCAAAATGGGTGCTTGCCAGTGGAGGGCAGCTTAGTCCTGTGGGTCTTTCCAGGAGGGTGGGTGTAACAACTTGGAAAGTCCTGCCAAGCGTTTCTAACAGTTAGGTGAAGGGCTGAAATGCCACAGCCTACTGCCTAATAGTATTCTAAGCTGGTCTTTCTTTAGCTTATTTATAATTCAGAAACTTTCCTCTGCTGATGAAAGCTCCAGTGGGCACAGCATTGTGTTTATCTTTAATCCCAACCTGAAACAGTGATGAGCTGTTCAGAGGCATGCTTGCACACCTACATGCTGCACAGTTCCCTAGTTATTTTTAATTTGGTTTATAGAGAGTGTGAGGTTGTGCTAGGCAAAACCCTACAGTGCTGCCTGATCATTTTGGATAGGAGAGTGCCTGTACTTTGGGAGAAGTAAAGGATTAACGAATACACATTTGTAAGCCATTGATCTGGGAGGGAGACTAATTATCTGGCTTTATTTAAACTAAGCTTTTACTGATGATATTTAAAGTCCTGAATTCAACCAATATAAATATGCTAATATCAAGTTTAGGCTTTCTGACTACCAACATTACAGCCAAGAGCTAATGGTCTAGGTAATCACTTAAGCTATTAGTCCATAAGAAAATCCTCATTGCGCTGCTGTATATTTTGATCCTAGCGGGTATGTCATTTGGGAAGGTCACTTGGCTGTGAGAATTACAGTTGGCCTTTCATTTCACTGGGTTTTTTTGTTTGTTTGTTTATTTATTTATTTTTGACTACATTGGATCTTCGTAGCTGTGCGTGGGCTTTCTCTAGTTGCGGCGAGTGGAGGCTACTCTTCATTGCAGTACGCGGGCTTCTCATTGCGGTGGCTTCTCTTGTTGCGGAGCACGGGCTCTAGGCATGCGGGCTTCAGTAGTTGTGGCATGTGGGCTCAGTAGTTGTGGCTTGCGGGCTCTGGAGCGCAGGCTCAGTAGTTGTGGCTCTTCCCGGCATGGGATCTTCCCGGACCAGGCCTCGGACCCATGTCCCCTGCATTGGCAGGCGGATTCTTAACCCCTGCGCCACCAGGGAAGTCCCTCACTTGTTTTTTTTTTCTTCAGTGTTAATGACTGTTGGTCATTATACTGACTCTTAAGTTACTTTGCATAACCATTTGGGAAATTTGAAATATGACATTATTGATGCTTATTATTGCAGATCTTGGATGATGGAGGGGATCTTACTCACTGGATTTATAAGAAGTATCCCAACATGTTTAAGAAAATCAAGGGCATAGTGGAAGAGAGTGTTACTGGAGTCCACAGGTAAGATTTGACATGGGTATGCCTAGTTTTATGCAGCCTGGACATATATTCTTTTTTTTTTTTTTTTTTTTTACAAATTTTTGTTTATTTATTTATTTATTTTTGGCTGCGTTGGATCTTTGTTGCTGTACGCAGGCTTTCTTTAGTTGCAGCGAGCGGGGGCTACTCTTTCATTGCAGTGCACAGACTTCCCATTGTGGTGGCTTCTCTTGTTGTGGAACACGGGCTCTAGGCACTCGGGCTTCAGTAGTTGTGTCACGCGGGCTCAGTAGTTGTGGCGCACAGGCTTAGTTGCTCTGCAGCATGTGGGATCTTCTCAGACCAGGGCTCGAACCTGTGTCCCCTGCATTGGCAGGCAGATTCTTAACCCCTGCGCCACCAGGGAAGCCCCTGGATATATATTCTTATAATCACATACTTATAGAATACATTATGTTAAAAATTGAAACCTGATCTGAAATGATGAGATCTGAGTCTGCACGCTTGTTTTTTTTGTTGTTTTTTTTTTGCGGTACGCGGGCCTCTCACTGTTGTGGTCTCTCCTGTTGCGGAGCACAGGCCCTGGATGCGCAGGCTCAGCGGCCATGGCTCACGGGTCCAGCTGCTCCGCAGCATGTGGGATCTTCCTGGACCGGGGCATGAACCCGTGTCCCCTACACCGGCAGGCAGTCTCTCAACCACTGCGCTACCAGGGAAGCCCTGCACACTTGTTTTTTAAATTAACAACACAAATAGGAAACTTAAAATAGTGAGGGGGGAGTAGCTAAGGGAATAAGTGTGGTCCTCATGTTTTTTAGTCATTGTAATACAATGACTGCTTGTCCTCTTTGGACGAATTCATTTATTCAACATCTATTTATTGAACTTCTGCAGTGGACCAGGAACTACTCTAAGAACCATGCTAGGGATCTAGCAGTGGGGAAAACAGACAAAAGCCTGGGCCCTCATAGAGCTTATGTTCTTACACAGAGAACAAGGATTTAGGGTCTGTTTCTCAAATGATCATTAATTCCCTGAGTAAAATTGTAACCATTTCTGTTTCCTGTTATTTACCCAGAAAGAACTGAAAGTATGAAAGTTTTAGGGAAGTAAATTTTGAATAAGCCACCATCACTGCTTCAATACACTGTGATCCTTTTGAATGTATAAAACTATGGATTGTCCCATATTTTCAAACTTTTAGAAAGGGATGAATTTTGAATAAAACACCTGGTTCTAATTTTTAGTTGACTCAGTTTAAATAAAACCCCTATATACAGATATACATATTTATAGGTATATGTACTGAAGTTATAAAATTGAGACTATTGGAAAGTTAAACTATTTGAAAGTTAAAATTGTTGCATTAGAGTAGTGGGATTAAAATAGTACTTAAAGTTTCTCTTTTTATGATTAAAAAGGGAAATAAAACTAATAAGCAATTAAAAATTTTACATTTTAATGCTTAAAATTTAGTGGTAGGTCAAAGATTTTCCCCACGTGCCTTTTGATTAGTATCTTTGTTTCTAAGCTGTATACAGATTCTGGAAAGGTATTCTTTATTTCTCTGTATACACCTTATAGGATGAAACTAGTTGTGTCTCAGGCTCTCATGCCTACTCAATTAACTTATTTGTGAAATTTGATATGAAACTGATGGTCGATTGCAATATCTCATTGTTTTATGTTCTTCTTGATTTCCTTCATTCCCAGGCTGTACCAGCTATCCAAAGCTGGGAAGCTATGTGTTCCAGCCATGAATGTCAATGACTCAGTCACCAAACAGAAATTTGACAACCTCTACTGTTGCCGTGAATCAATTCTGGATGGGTAATGTTTTGTTATCTTTGGGGTGAACTTGAGTTGTTGAATTGAGGTTCTAAAGTTCTTGGTTTTGGTTATTTCTAGAAATAATTTGTGTAGTACCTCTGGATCTATTGCTATATCATACTCAATATTTTGTAACCCAAAGCTACCATTGCTGTCACTTACATCACACTCAATATTTTATGACCCAGAGCTACCATTGCTATCACTATTTCAAGCAAATCTATTTCACTTAAAAAGTCAGACCAGCCCCTATCTATTGGTGGCAGTTTTTACAGTCATGCTCTCAGGCCTGGGAGTCAGTAACTAAAGTCATTATAAATAAGTAAATATCTTTGATGGTTTAGGAAAAGGTTCCTGGTATTTCTCTTCCAGGTTATGTTGTCAGTTCTTAAGCTCCAACTATCATACAGTTCTCTGGCCACCTGGAAAGTTGTGGTGAACACAGGGTTATTTCCCAGTGGCATTTGTAGTTTTTCAAATCTGTAAGGACTGCAAGTCTGACAAAATCTACTTAGATATAATATACCAAAAACTGTGTTCTTCCAGTGCCCAGTTTCTGTTTCTACACTTGTGTCCTGAAATTCCTTCATTCTTGCTGGGAAGACTCAGTAACTCCCTATGTGAAACCATTAAGTTGGTTTAGAATATTGCCAAGCCAAATGGCTTCCATCGTGTATTAGTTAATGGAAAAGTGAAGAAAGGGCCTGTGGGCCACATTACTAGTCTGAACCCCAGGCAATTTGCAACACCACAGGCAGTGGAGCAAGAAGGACTTTGGTTTAACAGTTAGCTCTATCATTTATTAACTCTAAGACCTCAGACTAGTTATTTAACCTCTCTGTGCCTATTTCCTCATCTGTAAAATGGTAACAGTAAGACCTATCTCATAGAGTTATTGTGAGGATTAAATGAGATAAGGTATGAATCCTGGGGATCAATGTTAGTTACCTTGCCCTTCTTTCTAGAACCCTATATAGTAAGTTTAGGATTGAGTTAGATCTTACAAGAAGACTTTTACTTTGAAATCTTTTTTTTTTTTGTGGGGTGGAGGGGGGTGTTCAATGTAAATTCAAACTGTTTTTAATTATTACTCCTATAGATTCAGTATTATTGTCAGATAGATTGGACATTTGAGTGAATCCTTACTCTATCATTCTGTTTACAGACTGTCCCTAGTTCTGTCCACATATAACTGCTATTGTGATGAACAGCTTTGCACCTGATAATAATGATTTGGATATATACTCATAAAAATATTTACTCATCCACAACTGTTTCTTATAGATTTTTCAACTCCCAAATCTATGAGCCTAAAATCTGCCTATATTTAGTAAAAGATGCATGAAGTTACCTCTGCTAGCTCATAAACATGGACAGAGTCCCTCCTAAGCAGTGTTTACCCTGTGGATAAGAAAGATACTTTAAGGTCAGAAATGTATGAAAGTGAAAGTAAGATGGAAGCAGTGGAGCTGGAGTTAAAGTTAATAAAGAAATAGGAAAACATCACCCATCTACTGGAAACCTGCTGAGTAGTAGTAAGAGCTTGTTGGCATCTTCAGATGGTGAAAAACTTTCCAATTGGGTCATGGGCAGTTGCTCCTCTCAGAGGAGTTGAGATGTGACTGGGTGCATTCAGGGTGGTGTGGCCGTAGACTCAGAGGAGTTGAGAGTAGGAGAAGTTAAAGAAGAGGCAAAGTATATGCTCCAGGGAAAGCTGCAAAATAGAGAGTCCATATGAGGAAAGGATTAGGGATTGAGCTTCTCTAGCTCTGAGCTGGTTGCACACTGCACCATAAGCTATGAGGGAATGGCTCCACTCAGTCCTAGGGGACACTTCTGTAATTGGTCTGCAATGCCAAAAAGCAAGGCAGGTGCAGCCTTATGGAGACTGAGGAAGGAAGACTTGGTAGGAAGAAAAAAGGTATCCCAGATAGGATTTTTAGATCATAAAGCAGACTGTATTTCAGGAACTCTTCTGGAGAGTTCTGGGGCTAGAAGAATTAGAGAGAAGTCAGAGACTTGGCATGACTCTTTTACACCTCCAGACAGCTTACCCTCACATCCCCAAAAGTCCTTTCTTGACGAAGGTCTTTTCTGTCCTTTATCCTTGAACTTTGAGGCAGATCTGGGCCCCTCAGATCACAAGGAAATCACTGCCTAACTGGAATCCATCCTGGTCTGTCAGCCTATCATTTACAGAGTAGTGGTGTTGATGAAGTTTCCCTTCCACCACACAGTCATTTGTAGTCACAAAGAGAGAGTCATCTTCCTTTGGGAAGAGAGTCAGAAAGGCTTGTGGGTAGTCAAAGCAAAGGAGGCTCAGAAATATGATTATTGATTTCCTTGCTGTGCTGAGCCAGTCAAGGACCATTCTAAGCCATGGCTTTTGAGTATGGTGGTAGCCCAGCCAGACTTACCCTCTTCACTCAACAGAAACTGCCTCTGCACTTAATTGATATTTATTGAGTTTCATTGGAGTTCATGGAGTTATACCAGTTCCTAGTGAGTGGAGTCGTCAAATCATTAAAAAGATAGGATTTCTACTTTGCCTTTGGGGCATTTATAGACTTTTGAACAGGAGAGGTTAACAGATGAGTAGAAAGACCTACAAATATTTGTCGGAACCATCTGTCTCAGAATGGCAGGTTTTAGTTGAAGTTTCTTCTGCCTAGCCAGGGCTTCCTAGAGAAGGGAGACCAACGGACCCTACAGAGAAACCAGAAACTGCTCCTACAGCTACTTCCAAGAGACCCTGAAAACAGTAAGGACCTTTATTCTAGCTTCATAGAGAATCAGAGACAAAGAGGTAGAACATGTCTGAGAAGGACTCAGCCCAGAAAACTCATGTAGTCAGTGTTGGTGTGTTTCAAGGCTCTTCTCCACCTTGTTGCCCATTACCCTCCCTGGTGAGTTAATGTGGGACCTATTGGCGATTTATTTTTTTTTTTTTGCGGTACGCGGGCCTCTCACTGTTGTGGCCTCTCCCGTTGTGGAGCACAGGCTCCGGACACGCAGGCTCAGCGGCCATGGCTCACGGGCCCGGCCGCTCCGCGGCGTGTGGGATCTTCCCGGACCGGGGCATGAACCCGAGTCCCCTGCATTAGCAGGCGGACTCAACCACTAGCGCCACCAGGGAAGCCCACCTATTGGCGATTTTGATACTACTAAATGTAGGAGTCATTTATCAGCATTATATTTTATGTGTCTAATTCAATAAGCTACAACGTTCACATTAAACCAGAGCTTTGTCACCTTCTAAATAAAAATTACATTTATGTTTAAAAGTTACTTTGTGGTCTATGGCTTCTTCCTTCTGTACCACTCCCAAAACAAGGGGAACAAAAAGAAAAAAGGCCTCACATAGAGATGGAATTGATTGGATAGCATGGATAAGAAAATACATATTTTGGGCTTCCCTGGTGGTGCAGGGGACACGGGGTTGTGCCCCGGTCCGGGAAGATCCCACATGCTGCGGAGCGGCTAGGCCTGTGAGCCATGGCCGCTGAGCCTGCGCGTCCGGAGCCTGTGCTCCGCAACGGGAGAGGCCACAAGAGTGATAGGCCCGCGTACCGCAAAAAAAAACAAAAAAAACCCCATATTTTATTGAGCTTTTCTTTCTAGTCATTAAATAGTTTCTCTAGGATAGAAACCAGGCTTGCTTTCAACATTAAAAAAAAAAACAAAAAAAACCCCAAAACCAAAAACAAACAAAACCCAAACATGAAAACAAAGGGGCTCAATCTAATCTCAAGCGAGAAACAAGAGATTTTTCTGATTTAATTTTTTTTCCCCCATAGACTTAAAAGAACAACAGACATGATGTTTGGTGGGAAGCAGGTGGTAGTCTGTGGCTATGGAGAGGTAAGGTTTAACCTTTCAATTATTAGGTGTTTAAAATGTATTTTGCTGAAATATACTAGAATTTTTCACTTGTATGGACATAAAAGTACATTCATTTACCACATTAAGTGGGACAAAAGTAACTTCAGGGGCCCTCTGGTTAAAGTACAATCTTACTTTTTCCCGTTGCATTTTTGCTATTTTTTCTTTAAGTTGATTTTCTGACTGTTCCAGTGCACTGTTTGTGATGTTCTTTTAGCTTGTGTTTTGATTATAAATCGTGAGTGTGGGTGTTCTTATGCACATGCGTGTGCTAAGCAGGGTTTAGGAGTTTATGAACTGCATTCATTTTATTTTTTTTTCTTATTTTTCCCTAAGCGTGAATCTATTCAGTGAAATTCCTTTTGGTGGCGGAAAGGGGGGTACACTTTACCAGAAGCTTTGAGAAACTGTTTTCTTTGTGACTTTCCTTATTATGTGTACTTTCTGCTCTCTTCAGGTGGGGAAGGGGTGCTGTGCTGCCTTAAAAGCTATGGGCTCCATTGTGTATGTAACTGAGATTGACCCCATCTGTGCTCTTCAAGCCTGGTAAGCATGCAAAAGGAGATTTGCTTTTTCCTCTCACCACTGTCTAACGTATTATCTTCTAACTGCCTCCAAAGAATGGCCTAGTTAATGCCACATTTCATCTTAGAGGGGCCTAGATCCTGAGAAGCTGCCCAGATCCTGAGAGGCTGCTATTAACTGTAAGCACCTGTCTTTCAAAGATCTAGGAGCTCTGCTCTGAGAGAGCAGAGGTTGTCAGAAGCTACAATTTAGAACTCCTGTGGAAATAGTAACAGGGGACGCCTTGAACCAGAGAGCAAGTAGCCCCTTATCAGCTCCACATGCCATCCTTCTCCCTTTGAAAACAGTGATCAAAAAAGAAATAGGCTGGCATCAGATCCCTTCTGAAGTGATGCAATGAAAAGAGCGCTTCTGTCACATTCCTCCCCAAAATGCATAACCTAATGTAATCAGGAGGAAATATCAGACAAATCTAAATGAAGGATAAACTCTACTAACTCTTACTGAAGGGTATATAGGAGTTGTTTGTACTATTCCTGTAATTCTTAAGTATGAAATGATTCCAAAATTAAAAGTTTAAAAAAAAAATAGTTCCTTTCCCATCTAAAAATGTGGGTAATCTTATCTACTTCAGTTGTGAAAGTTCAGAAAATAATGATATAATTATTATATATGATTATACATTATATAATAAATATATAATTATGTAAAGTATAGAGGTGCTGTCACATAATAAATGCTCACTAAGTGGTAGCTGTTATTAAAATTGTCTCTTGCCACCCTCGGCAGGATAAAATACCACTGTCCCTGAAAACTACTGCAAAGTCCCCGTGCCTGTAGCCTGAATAACCCATCCAATCTTTACCATGAACCCTCCAGAGGAAGGCACCCAGCATAGATGAGGCATGGCATAAAGATGTTTCCATAACCATTTTCCCCTGTCCTACCACTCCCCACACACCGTAGCCATCAACACACAGTTTTCCCCAACAGAGCTGTTGGCTTTGTCTGAGTCAGGGCTCCAGCGCACGAAGGGAACTGTCACCATTCTAGCACTTTTTCAGGGTTCATTAGAGAAACCTGAATGTGTTTTAATATTGACTGAGGTACTGATTGAAACTATCTTATAGACGTGAACTGATCACTTATTCTGTGTTAGGTACTGTGCTCTGTGCTGAGGATGAAAGATGAGTAGATGAATGAGACAAGGTCCCTGCTTTTAGAAGCACACAGACAAATAACCTCTGTGCAGTGTAGTAAGTGCTGTGATAGAGATAAACAGCACATGCTTCTGTAGGAGCACAAAGGAGGAATATCTAACTAAAGAGCAGGGCGGTGAGGGTAGAAAGAGGTGTCAATGGAGCTGAGTCTTAAAACTTATTTAAGTGACTTCTTAGTTTGGAAGTAAGTTCCAGGTACAGGCGACATATGCAAGGTCACCTAGGAAGGAGAGAGCACGGCATGTTTATATTAAAGAAGCTGGAAGTGTTTTAATGGAGCTGCCCAATAGGATAAATTTGGGGGAGTGGTAATACCTGAGTAGGAATCATATGTCAGTATAATCATATATCAACATAAGTATTTGGGTCTTATCCTGATACCAGACAATGTCACCAAAGTATTTTAAGCAAAGAAGTGACATGAGCCAGATGGCATTTCAGGAAATCACTCTGCAAAATGAATTAGAGAGACATAAACCTAGAGGCGATGAGATGGGGCCAGGGGCTACTACAGCAAGAAATAATAAGACCTGAACATCAGGCCTGCACGTATAGAAAAGAGGGGATAGATTAAGAATTAAGATTTTAAGGAATTAAGGAAAAAGACTCAACCAGATTTGGTGACAATTTTAATTAGGGAGAGGCAGTAGGCTAGGACATTCTTAGCTTATTTGACTTGTAGAGCTGGGTGAACAGTAATGCTGTTGATTAAGATAGAAAATATAGATGAAGAGAAACAGGATTGGTGGTGTGGGTAAGATAATGAGTCTATTTTCAAGCACAATAAGTTTGAGGTCCTTGTGGGACATGAGGAGGAGCTCTCCAGTAGATAATTTGATCTATGGCTCTGAAGCTTTGGATGTTAATGTGCAAATCAGCCACCTGTGAGGCATCATTTGTAGCCAAGGGAAAGGAATGGATAAGTGCCGAAAGAATAGAGAAAAGAGTACCCTACAGAGTACCAACATTTAAAGGTTGACTGAGATCGAGAAGGAGCAATCAAAAAGTAAGAAAACCAAGAGAAAACGGTATCATGGACTCCAAGAGTATAGATCCTTAAGAATGCAAATAATGTTTAATGTAGCAGAGGATATCAAGTAATATTAGAGTGCAGGAAAAAAATTGTTTTTGGCATTCAGGAGATCACTGATGATCTTGGAGAGAGCAATTTCAATGGGGTAGTAGGTTCAGGTAAAATGGCACTTTCTAGAATCTTGATTGGGGTTTCATGGTTAACCCTGCCTCCCTATTATCAGGAAGAATTAGGTCCCAGTGATAGAAAGAACCTTTTATTTCTGTCCTGTATGAACTAAGGAAAGAGTTTGAATTTTTCACTAAGAATAGTCCAGCTGTACCAAAAAGTGATGTAGGTACCAAAGCAACTTGGGTAATAGCTTTTGAGGTTGTGTAGCAGAAGGCTCCCCAGCTGCTTTTTTAGGTTAATTGATCATGCTTTATTTCTACAGTATGGATGGATTTCGACTGGTGAAATTAAATGAGGTCATCCGACAAGTGGATATTGTTATTACCTGTACAGGTATGATTATGACATATAAAATGGGGTGGCACTTGGGAACACTTTCATGGAACAAGTGAAAAATGACTGGAAATGTTCTGAACAAAACCAAACTCTAAAAGCCAGAGATAGTAGTCCACAAAACCAATCTTTCACATTCTTCCTACCTCTTTAGAACTCTGACGAAAAGTATACCATTAGGTCATCCCTAGAGGAAAGTTTCTCTCTAGTCTTTTTAACTGTTCCATATCTCCATCCATCCTCAGCTACCTAGGAGATGGCTACCAGTGAGTTTTATTTGGGAAGCTAGATCTTAAATTTGTACATTTTTAAAAATTTTACTTCCAAAAGTGATGTGTATTTCTCTCTAGTCCCTGTAATTAAAGCAAGGCTAGAGCAAAATTCTTCCTAGTTAGAGAAAGTGGAAAAGGTAGTTGTGTTAATTACCAAAGATGTAGATTTTGAGTTTTAGAGAGGAATATGCAGATATGTCTACTTTCCTTGGACTGAGATATTTTATCTTTATGTTAGAACCATAAGCCATTGGAATATTGGGTTTATTTTATAATTCTAGTTTAAAGGAGGAAAATCAGAATATTTAAGAATAAAACTATTATTTGTAGTCTCAGGGAGAGCTGGGGGCAAAGAAGAACCATAAGAAATTGTCCTTAGGGCTTCCCTGGTGGCACAGTGGTTAAGAATCTGCCTGCCAATGCAACGGACGTGGAGGAAGCTGGTGGAGGGTGGTTTGTACTTCTTGCTGCATTTATGAACTACAGGGCAAGCACAACTGTGGATATTAGGATAAACAAAAAATCCATCCGATTCTCTAAAAGACCCAGCTGGATTCTGGGACATGTTTTCATTGCCTGGGTTTTATAATCTGGGACTCTGGCTTTAAGTCTTGTCACAAGATTCATGATCCTTTTGCTTCTGGTCATTGCCTGTGTTACAGTTGCTCAGTGTATCCTGTCCAAAAACTTAAATGCTGCCGTGCAGCCGTTGGCACATCAGATGACTCAACAACTTATCCTACAACTGGCCCTAGTCCAACAAGGACTATGCCCTTTGGACATCCTCCTGGTCTTAACTGACAAAATCTTGACCAGTGAAAATCTGGACATCGTGGATTGATGGCTTGTGGTCTGACTTTGTCTGCCCTTGGCTGAAGAGGGGCATTAGAGAAGAGCAGCTATGACAGACAGGAGCTGGCCTGGAAAGTCTCCATGTGTCTAGGAGCTGGCCCAGCACTGACAGGTGTTTCCTATTGAATGTAAGCAGTTTCATAGGTCACCAACATCAGATGAAGCTGCTCTGTAACTGATGGATCAAGGCGAAAACAAGCTCACTCTGTAATCACATCTGAGTGCAGACGAAAACACAAGCATTGTTCAAGCTGGAAAAACGAGGCATATCCCCTATTCTGGGCAATGTGGGGCCTGCTGCTTCTCATCACACAGCTTTAGCCTCGCTTCATTCCTCTCACCTTCTAGATGAGATTCATGAAGACACCAATCATAGAGCCATCTCTCTTTTCCTGACAGCATCCAATCCAGAGCAAACCATGCTTCTTTGAACACTCATCAAAATCATCTAATAAGAGCCCAGATCCTTTAAAGTCCTTCTCAAAGGACTTTTCCTGAGATGCAATAAAGGGAACTTATCCAGCGCCAGGTGTGTCTGGTGGTCTGTGACCAGCCTGCACTCCCGATACTAATTCTTGTGGCCCTTGGGTCTAAGCTGCTAAGGATCATTCTACTCAGCCTCGACCTCCTTATCTCTCTTTGCTCCTTCCTTCACCACAGGTAACCCAGTCTGCTGGTTTCCCAGCCTGGAGAGCTTGCCAGAAAAAAACTCAAGTGGATTTGTTATAAAGCAGAGACTAACACACCATTGTAAAGCAATTATACTCCAATAAAGATGTAAAAAAAAAAAAAAGAAAAAGAAAAAAGAAACTGTTCTTTTTCACATCAGTCCTTTGATCTATTTTTTTGTAAGTAGCTTTATTGAGATATAATTCACTTACCATATACATTTTACCCATTTTAAGTGTATAATTCAATGTTTTCTAGCAAATTCACAAGGTCATACAACCAAGACAATCTAATTTTTTTATTGAGATGTAATTTACATACTGTAGAAGTCACTCTTTTAAAGTATACAGTTCATACAGTTCTGCAGCCTGTGGAAGGAAAGCCACATTCACAGAAAGACAGACAAAATGAAAAGGCAGAGGACTTTCTACCAGATGAAGGAACAAGATAAAACCCCAGAAAAACAACTAAATGAAGTGGAGATAGGCAACCTTCCAGAAAAAGAATTCAGAATAATGATAGTAAAGATTATCCAGGACCTCAGAAAAAGAATGGAGGCAAAGATCGAGAAGATGCAAGAAATGTTTAACAAAGACCTAGAAGAATTAAAGAACAAACACCTAGAAGAATTAAAGAACAAACAAACAGAGATGAACAATACAGTAACTGAAATGAAAACTACACTAGAAGGAATCAATAGCAGAATAACTGAGGCAGAAGAACAGATAAGTGACCTGGAAGACAGAATGGTGGAATTCACTGCCATGGAACAGAATAAAGAAAAAAGAATGAAAAGAAATGAAGACAGCCTAAGAGACCTCTGGGACAACATTAAACACAACAACATTCGCATTATAGGGGTCCCAGAAGGAGAAGAGAGAGAGAGAAAGGACCCAAGAAAATATTTGAAGAGATTGTAGTCGAAAACTTCCCTAACATGGGAAAGGAAATAGCCACCCAAGTCCAGGAAGCACAGAGAATCCCAGGCAGGATAAACCCAAGGAGAAACACGCCAAGACACATAGTACTCAAATTGACAAAAATTAAAGACAAAGAAAAATTATTGAAAGCAACAAGGGAAAAATGAAAAATAACATACAAGGGAACTCCCATAAGGTTAACAGCTGATTTCTCAGCAGAAACTCTACAAGCCAGAAGGGAGTGGCATGATATATTTAAAGTGATGAAAGGGAAGAACCTACAACCAAGATTACTCTACCCAGCAAGGATCTCATTCAGATTCAACAGAGAAATCAAAAGCTTTACAGACAAGCAAAAGCTAAGAGAATTCAGCACCACCAAACCAGCTCTACAACAAATGCTGAAGGAACTTCTCTAAGTGGGAAACACAAGAGAAGAAAAGGGCCTACAAAAACAAATCGATAACAATTTAGAAAACAGTAATAGGAACATGCAAATCAATAATTACCTTAAACATGAATGGATTAAATGCTTCAACCAAAAGACACAGGCTTGCTGAATGGATACAAAAACAAGACCCATATATATGCTGTCTTCAGGAGACCCACTTCAGACCTAGGGACACATGCAGACTGAAAGTGAGGGATTGGAAAAAGATATTCCATGCAAATGGAAATCAAAAGAAAGCTGGGGGCTTCCCTGGTGGCGCAGTGGTTGAGAGTCTGCCTGCCGATGCAGGGGACACAGGTTCGTGCCCCGGTGCGGGAGGATCCCACAGACCTAGAGCAGCTGGACTGTGAGCCATGGCCGCTGAGCCTGTGCATCCGGAGCCTGTGCTCCACAACGGGAGAGGCCACAACAGTGAGAGGCCCACGTACCGCAAAAAAAAAAAAAGAAAAAAGAAAGCTGGAGTAGCAATGCTCTTATCAGATAAAATAGACTTTTAAAATAAAGACTTTTACAAGAGACAAGGAAGGACACTACATTAATGATCAAGGGATCAATCCAAGAAGAAGATATAACAATTATAAATATATATGCACCCAACATAGGAGCACCTCAATACATAAGGCAACTGCTAACAGCTTTAAAAGAGGAAATTGACAGTAACACAATAATAGTGGGGGACTTTAACACCTCACTTACACCAATGGACAGATCATCCAAACAAAATTAATAAGGAAACACAAGCTTTAAATGACACAACAGACCAGCTAGATTTAATTGATATTTATAGGACATTCCATCCAAAAACAGCAGATTACACTTTCTTCTCAAGTGTGCACGGAACGTTCTCCAGAATAGATCACATCCTGGGTCACAAATCAAGCCTCAGTAAACTTAAGAAAATTAAAATCATATCAAGCATCTTTTCTGACCACAACACTATGAGATTAGAAATCAGTTACAGGGAAAAAAACGTAAAAAACACAAACACATGGAGGCTAAACAATATGTTGCTAAATAACCAAGAGATCACTTAAGAAATCAAAGAGGAAATCAAAAAATACCTAGAGACAAATGACAATGAAAACACGACAATCCAAAACCTATGGGATGCAGCAAAAGCAGTTCTAAGAGGGAAATTTATAGCAATACAAGCCCACCTCAGGAAACAAGAAAAATCTCAAATAAACAATTAACCTTATATCCAAAGGAACTAGAAAAAGAACAAACAAAACCCAAAGTTAG